GAAATCCTTGGGAGAGTTGCCAGTTGCCCTTTGCCACAGCCTGAATCCTCCAGCCCTCCTACCCTTAACCCCTAGATTGTTCTCGCCAGAGCTAAGGAAGAAGCCCCTTAGCACTATCCACGGATTTGATCCGGCATATAAAACTGTTGAGGTGAGCTAAAACACTCGAGGACTTGTATTCCCTTAATAAAAGTTGAAGTATACCGCATAGATACAAGCAAGTTGATATTATTCCTAAATCCTAATGAGTGCATAGCAGCCATGTTCATCCTAGAAAAGACTGGTGGTGGATCTTCTTGTTGGATGATCCGCCGAGGTAGTAAAAGCAGACGTCAGATAAGGTCTAACAAAAGTACAAAACCATATACAGTACGTACCTATCTGAAGACTTTGTCGTACTTGATTGAATCATCGTGCAGATGCTTGTGATTATTTATCCACATCGTCACATTATTGAATCGAAGAGTGCAAAGCCTTACTAAATCGGAGCTAATCCCCTCGGTCAGCAATCAGGAAAAAATCATGGAGATTTGGAGAGAGAGCATCCTGGAAAAACCATGAACGAGGAGAAGATCAGAAGAAAAGGCCCGTCTCTGACGAGGGATTAACGGCCCTGGGCGCTGGGCGCCGGCCGCCGAGCGGATGAGCACACCGGCGGCCGCTGACGGAAGAAAACGACGTGAGCCCTACTCAGAAATCAAGGTCCTAAGATCTGAGGCCAGAGGCCCTAGAAAAGTTAAGGTCGGTTTAGGACGTGAGAAAAATTTCATGTTTTCATTTTTCTTTGAAATTGAATTGATTCTTCTCAAAAGTTAAGGTCGCACAGCTAGCAGCGGAGACGTCCAGCTTCGTAGGTTGCTGCGCGGTTCTTAGCTTGGTTGTTTACTATTTATGTAATATCGAAGTTTAAAATAGTCACCTAGGAAGATCCAGCCATAGCTGTAAGACCTCCTAGGACGCTCATCAGAAACGTGTTGTTTATATAGTTAAACTCTTCTTCTTACTTATAATGATACGTAAATCTTTTGCGTATTCGAGAATTTTTTTTTATGATTCCTATGTTCTAAATAGATCCTCAAGTTCCGCAAGAAACATCGAACACCTAGAATTTAGTTTCGAGCGTTGGTTCCGGCGCACTTAGGTTTAGCCTAAATCCAATCCCGTGATCGTAACGATCCAACGAACCAACTTTCCTTATTTAAAAAAAATAATTTCAATAATTTTCTATTTTTAGAAAGTAACTAAGTTATACATAACTTATGCCATGACTTATAACTTGGACAATATAACACTTTGCAAAACTTGTTACCGTATAACTTATACCATATAACTTATAACTTATGCCAAAACTAGGAAAGACAAAAGTTATGAAACACATTTTTTTATTTTTTTCTCTTTTTACTTTTTATTGTAGTCTATCAATTTTTCTTTTGTGCATGCTACCAACATAACTGCTAATATGTTATGATATTGATTTGTATATCTAAGTTGTATAGAACAACTTATGTACACAATTGTGTTTGATAACTTTTTATGTAGACAAGTTGAATTTTATAACTTCTTGTGTTTCCAAAGTTTTGGTTATAAGTTATATGTGATAAGTTATATGTTATAAGTTAGTTTACTATTAGAAAAAATTCTTCGAAACATATCAAGTGAGTCTAGTTCTGTTCGTCTCGTCGCGTAGAACACACTGGTACAGCCAGAATTGAAAATGGATACACCATTCAGAAGTTATAACAATTTAAAATAAATATTTTGCTTTTTTCCGCCTGCGTCAGCGCTGACATCGTAGCCAGCTTGCAGCCGTGTGCGCATGGAAGGAGTGGCGCGCTGCTGAGTACTACCAAATAGGGTAATAGGTGTAATATTTTTCTAGAAAAGAAAATAATATATGTCAGAAAATTATTCGCTTGTATGGCATCGGGTGAGCGTTCGCTGTTTAGCCAGGCTGCCACGTTTTTTTCATTCAAATTTTTCTTGTTTACTTATTTTTCATTCCTTTTCTCATTTGTTCCTTCTATCTATTTATTTATCTATCTATCTACCTATCTATTATATTAATACAATAGAATCAAAAGAAGTCACCACGTCATCAGAGAGTCTAGAAATTATGAGATTAATTAAGAAAGAAGAATATTCACATTTGGATTTTATGATGATGCATCAGTTTAAAATTAACAATAGAGTCCATGCCAAAAAAAAAATAACGAGATCAATCAAGAAAAAGAGAAGAATATCCACCGTTGGATTTTATAATAATCAAACCGTCTAAATTTAACCATATAATTTATGCCAAATACGACTAAAGGGTCACTGCAATTTACAAAATACGACTAAAGAGTCATTATAAATTCATAACTATCATCTTCAGGAATCGTAGGAGTTTCAAGTGAAAAGTCACGTTCCAAAAAGGAACATCAATCCGTACCTAAAACAACCAAGAGAAGTGCATGCCCCATTAGTTATAGAGGCCATGTAAGAAGTCTCAAATGAAACGATTGAAACATTCAACTTGATGGGCCTTGAGCATGGTGCATCCACATCTCCCATTAGTTATAGAGGCCACGTAAGAAGTCTCTTCAAGGTTCATAGCATCTTTAAATTGTTCTCTAAACACATTTTTTAGGAAAGTTCTCTAAACACATTGATGGTGCCGACCATAGGTAGCAACAAATTCTTACTTATGTTGTTGTGCAAACATATATAGAAACAAGCTCACCTTGTTTTTAACTTTCATGGCATATCCATAGGTGTTACCTGATCGGGAGCTTGGCCTTTGCCAGGGGCTCCAACGAGGACTAGGGATAAGCGTGAGTTTCTCGATACCTCGGCAAAAATATTGGAGTCGTCGACGAGAGATTACTTTCTTGCTTAGGTTTCAATAAGTGCAGATTAGAGGTCATAGTTTAAAGTAGAAGTTTCAGAAAGCCTAATTTAAACCACCCTCCCCCTCTTAGGCGACATGGTCCCTTCACAGCCAATCCAAAACCTAGCCTAGCGGCGTCCGCGATTGGACGAGGCTATTCTGACGCTCGTGGCGGTGGCTGGTGGCCCGCTTGCCAATGTAATTGGGCGAGGGCAGATCGGACTATGTCAGGCAGCGAATTATGGAGGATTCCCCTTGTGCATATTAATTATGTTCATTGCTTCTCCCATCAACTTCAACTAACACTTGTAGTTGTTCCTAAGGAGAATATTGATTTTCAGTGTTTTTTGGGCTACTTGCATATTTGTTGAATACTCTTGGGGTGTCTTGTAAGAAGATATGCATGCTTCACGTAGGTCAACCTAATTATATGATTGAAGCATTTAAATTTGGTGAAATTGAAACAGGCCAAGGTTTGAATCAAGAGATGGGCTTAGCAAGGCCAAGTGATACACGTTGAGGATCTCGCTACTTGACTATAATGCATGTCATAGCTTTGCATCCTTCAATCAAGAAAGTTCTCTAGAAGGTTGCGAATGAAAGTAAAGGTGCTGAGGCTTTAGGAGCTCAAACCATGTTGACTGTATTTTAGTCATTTGAGTATGTATTTCTGTTATGTAATGCTTTGCAAAGGAGGGAGCAAGATGTTGTAGTATTGGATTTTCTTGAGTTCACAAAGGTAGAATTGGATATTTTGAGAGAAGATCATGGATGGAAATAGTTTCTTCAGAAGGTCACTTCTTTTTGTGAAAAGCATAAAGTTAAAGTTGTTGACATGAATGAGAAGTATAAGCCTATTCAAATATTAAAGCAATTCTTCATAGGTGCCATTAATTATCATTGGCCGGATTTCATGTCGATATGTTTTTGGGTGTCATTGATAGGCAGGTTCAAGAGCTTAATAACATTTTTTGATGAGGTAAATGCTGAGCTACTTAGATGCATGGTATCACTCAGTACAACTAGTTCATTTTTTGCTTTCCATATTGAGGACTTGGTGAAGCTTGTTGAGTTCTATTCTCATGATTTTGAATTTGAAGAAATGAGCCAGCTCCTTTTTCGATTGAACCTCTATATTGATGATGTGAGGAAAGATGAAAACTTGACAAATTTGAGAGGCCTAGTTGAATTTGTCTATGATGCTTGTTAAAACAGGAAAGGTTTCTCGGTATGACATTGTCTACAAACTTCTCAAATTGGTGTTAGTTCTCCCTGTTGCAACAGCTGGTGTTGAGAGGATCTTTTCTACAATGAACTATATCAGCAACAAGCAAGGAAACAAGATGGGTCAAAAATACTTGAATGATTGGTTGGTTACATTCATTGAAAGGGATTTTTCTTGCAAGCTAAGGATGAGAACATCATCAATCATTTTTCAATGCACGAAGGGTCGGAAAGTTGTATTGTAATTTGTAGGTTTTCTTACCATTTTGTTGTTTCAAAGCCTCCATATATTCCAGATGTTGCTACTTTGATCTGTTAAAACTATTGGCACTTCTTTATGCTCAAATTCTATGAATTTATGAAATTATGTCCAATTATGTGTTATATATTTGCTATATATTGTTTAGTTAAATATGTGGTGTTATACATGCCAAATGAACTTAGGAGTTTAGATTGTCAAAAAAATAGTTCTACCTATTCATATTTTAAATACGCAAGGTAAAAATCCCTAGGTCCGCCACTACCCATTCATATTTTAAATACCCAAAGATAAAAAATTCTAGGCCCGCCCCTGCTACGTGTATATAGGAATAAACATGTGACTTATCGGATGTTCAGATGTTGATCTAACAGCTGAGATGGTAACTTTGAGTAATTTTATTTTTGACACAACTCGTAAGTCAGTCACTTAATACATCCTACAGAGGGGGGGGGGGTGATAACACATGTGACCCGACAAGAAGGTGAGAGAATTTCAATCACTTAGGGCCTGTTCCGTTAATACGGAATGAACCCCTAGATTGATTCCCAACCTGGAATGTTGTGCTAATTTGATCCCCTGGAATGAGTCCTAGTAGAATGAGAGCTAAACGAACGAGCCCTTAATTATCACCACGAGATCACGGAACTAGACCATGTCAATCTTTTTCCCTGAGTCCTGACACAACAATAAAATTCAGAAGTTTCGATGTAAAATTGGGAGTCTCAAAAGGAATCTCGAGTATGATATTTGCATATTTGGATTTTATTTTCTTGGAATAAACAATATGGAAGCACGTGCCCGTTGCAACATTTTCGGTTCACCTCTGGCATGACAAAGCACACGCGACGGTGACACCAATAATTCACGGCCGTCTCTGTCCTCCAGCACCACAACACCTCAGAGGCCAATCTTGCCACGCTGCTTCATCTTTTTTTTTGGGGGGGGGGGGGGTGGCCGCGAGTAGTTGTGTTCTCCTTCCCTCTACTTGGTGGGCATTTCCACCACCTTTTCCTTGGCAGCGGCGTTGTGTAGAGGAAGAAGCTGCTGCCGATGGTGATGCTCTTTCGAGAGGGACATCTCCGAGTTGTACACACCCGTGATGGGGCCGAGGCCGATAGAGAAGAAGGTGACGTAGGCCAAGGTGGACGCGATGCACAGAGCGACGGCCAACGGGATCTTGGCGTCCGGGTGATGCCCACGACGGTGAGGCCCGTCCCGAGGCCGATGAGAGAGATGATCATTCCACCCGCGCTGGTCAGCAGCAGAGGCCGACGCCCAACGCGGTCCAGCAGGAACGTGGCCACCAGGATGAAGAGCGTCTTGGTGACGCCCAGGAGCTTATTGTCGCCGGTGATTCCCGCGCTCTTGAACACGCTCGGGCTGTACAGGACGACGGAATCGCTGCCAGAAGCCTGCTGGAAGAAGTGCAGGCCGACGCCCGATAGCAGTATGCGTCGGATCACTGGGGTTGGGGAAAAGATGAGCGCCTTCCACACCTGCATCTCACCACCGTTCCGCTCCTTGGGTACGGTGACCACGTTTCCGTCGAGGTCCTTCGGAATCCCTGCGGCAACCTTGATGTCAGCCAGCGGCTCTGCGGCCTCCTCTGGCGAGGCAGAGGTCTTCTCTAACACAGCCCTGGCGTCCGCGAGGCGGCCCTTCATGACCAGCCACCGAGGAGACTCCACCAAGCTTTATTTCTCAAATATTTTCAAATGACTAACTTCAATAGGTATCCAGGTGACCATTACCTTTAGCAATAAGTTAGCATTTTCAAAATATTTTACAAAGATTTTTTCATCTTTGTAGTACAACTATCTATCCTAAATCCAACCATCTTGGACTTCTCTAATCATCACATGGCCGGTGAAAATAAACTCCTATAGTTATACCTTGGCCTTGCGCTTTGTTTTCCATCCTTTGCTCTTTTCCATCATCTCCTCAAAGAGCTTTTCTGCCTCAGCCAGTATCCATTGTCTTCACTCTGCTTCACTTGTTGAGCCTTTATACCATTTGGTCCTTGCCATCTCCACTTTGTGGCTTCATCTAGCTCAACTCTAGGTTGTACACTAAGCCTAACCATTCATCTTCACATGACACATGTTAGTACACTAATATTATCATTCAATTACCAAAACCCAAATAAGTCTTTCAATGGGCCTCTGCCCTCCCCGGATCTCAATGAGACGGACCCCTCACCCCACCACCAACTCCATCCATCGGATGCCCTCTATTGTCTCACTTAACGTCGGTTGAACCACCACGACCACCAGTCTAGTCACTACCCCCAGGCCCCCTTCTAAGCTTGGAGGCCATTGATGTCCCCTGTTGTCCTCCCCGTAAACCCTAACTTTGTTGTCGCCATGAAGACAGGCATGCACAAGGAAGATGATGCGTGTGTTGTGTCATCCAATCACACGTCGACGCGTTGGTAATGATGGCAACACGCGCCAACTAAAGATTGTGCAACCCATCCACAAGTAGGTAGGTAGCCATGTTCCTTTTTTCCTACTCATTTTTTGTTTTGATTTTTCTATTTCTTTCTTTGCTTCAATGTTTCACCTCTCTTGCTTACATTTGATACAAACTTTTATGTATCCAAAATGTGATGAATAAATTATGTGTAAGTTTTTCAAAAACGTTTAACAACAAAACTTACATGTATAAGTTGTTATAAAATTGTGCTAAAACATTGTGTATTAAAAAGTTGTCATGCCTGAAAAGACTTTGTGCAAAATTTATATTGAAAAGGTTACGCTGAAGTATGTTAGCCAAAGTTATGTGTTGTAACTCGCACAAAATTAACATGAATTATTACAAAAACACCATTGGAGCCATTTTTACCAAATGTTTTACAAAACGGCTTTAACTCCAGCAGAGAAGTTGCTCCATATGAGAAGCCAGAGAGCCGTTTTAGAGCTGGAACCCTACTTGTAACATTTGTGATTTGTCCCACAAAAAAGTATACTCCAAATTGTGTGCATATAAGTTTGTTAAGTTTTCAAAATTGGAAAGTTGCATAAACGACTATAGGTCCAACGTTGGGGTCTCATTCCAGCAATCGTCTGTTGGCTAGCAGGCCCGCATCACATGCATGGCTCGAAAATTAACACGGCCCATCCACATGCCACACCATATAGTAATTAGGATTAAGGATTACATATATTATATATGTTATTATTAGTTATACTAAACCACGAAAGATCATCCCGTCGGTATGGTGATCCAGCAGTTTTTTTTTTTTTTTTTGAGAACAGATCCAGCAGGTTCCTTGACCAACTTACATTTGAACTCTCGCTCGTCTCTCGACACTGGAGCACTGACAAGGTACATGAAGTTTATTAAGCTCTATCTATGTGAACCACACCCCAGATTCCAATCCCGTGAGTAGTTGATTAAGCCTAATTTGCTGCGTTAGGCAACGGTTGCCATTTGATAGGGATAAATAATCTCCGCGTGATCGCAGAACGACAAATTCTTAGATAGATATAGATGATAGATATCGTTTCCTTATATTACACATCCTCCATGGCTTGCTTGACTCCCACAGTAGAATCCTCGAACCACTACCAATTTTCTAGCCTCCATGACTCGTGCAGCGAGGCAACAGCACCACCCTCTACACAGATTATATAGTAGTTATTACAGGACCAAGTAACGTGACTGACACCTCTAATAAACACCCGGCGCGGCGGCACTGGCAACCTGGCATTGGCGGCCATATCGACTTCAACAACTTGCTAGCTAGCTCACCCATCTTACGGACAAAACAAAGCACGAAACACAGGGCATGTACTTAGAAATGATTTAAGAAGCTCTAAGAGCCACGAGCTGGCCGGCCTGAGCTTGCTGGCCGTCGCTCTCCAGCTGCACCGGACCAGCGAGCGAATCTTCCCACGTTACTTCAGCGTAGCCTAGCTCATATGGCAACAATGGCCGCTAGCTAGCTGCCTACTGCACAAGTTCTTCGCATAAAACCCCTCAACAAGACCCTCTATTTTGAAGTTACTTGGTGGCGGCCATTTCGAGCTTCTTGTCTTTCGTGGCCCCGTCCTGGGGTTTCAGCTCGTCGTCGGTGGCGCCGAACAGCTTGCCCATCGCCTCCAGCGTCTGGCCGCGGGTCTCCGGGAGGAAGGTGAAGAAGAACACCCACGCGAGCACCGCGACGCCGGCGTAGAGGAAGAAGGCGCCGCCGATGGTGATGGCCTTGGTCAGCGAGATGAAGGTCATGGAGATCACGCCGCTGGTCACGCGGTTGGACGCCACGCCCAGCGCGCAGCCGAGCGCGCGCACGTGCAGCGGGAACACCTCGGAGCTGTACACCCACGTGATGGGACCGAGGCCGATGGAGAAGAAGGCCACGTAGGCCATGGTGGACGCGATGGCCACGCCGATGGCCCATGGGATCTTGCCGTCCGGGTGGTGCTCGATGACGGTGAGCCCGGCGGCGAGGCCGACCAGCGAGACGATCATGCCGCCCACGCTGCTCAGGAGGAGCGGCCGCCGGCCGACTCTGTCGAGTAGGAACGTGGCCACCAGGATGAAGAGCGTCTTGGTGACGCCCACGGCGCAGGTGGTGCCCAGGAGCTGGTTGGAGCTGGTGATGCCCGCGGCCTTGAACACGCGCGGGCTGTAGAGCACCACGGCGTCGATGCCGGACGCCTGCTGGAAGAAGTGGATGCCGAGGCCCGAGAGGAGGATGCGGCGCATGGCCGGGGTCGGGGACAGGATGAGCTCCTTCCACACCCGCGCCTCGTCGTTGTTCTGTTTCTTGGGCACGGCGACCACGTCGCCATCGAGCTCCGGGGGGATGCCGGCGGCGGCCTTAATGTCGGCGAGCTTCTCCGCGGCCTCCTCTGGCGTGTCGGAGGTCTTTCCCAGCACCACCTTGGCATCCGCCAGGCGGCCCTTCATGACGAGCCACCGGGGCGACTCGGGCATGCCCAACACCATGAGGGCGAGCACGACGGACGGCGCCGCGCCGATGCCGAGCATGACGCGCCAGCCGAGGCGGAGCGGGAGGTGAGAAAAGGCGTAGTTGGACACGTAGCCCAGAAGGATGCCGAAGTTGATGAACACCTCCGGGAAGGAAGTCAGGAAGCCACGGGCCGACGCGGGGGACACCTCGGCCGTGTACACAGGCGCGATCATGAGCGCGTAGCCCACGCCGACCCCGGCGACGAAGCGGCCGAACATGAGCATCCCGTAGTTGACGGCGAAGCCCATGAGGAAGGCGCCCGCGAAGAAGATCACCGCCGCGAACACGATGGTGTAGCGGCGGCCGATCCAGTCGGACGTCCGCCCCGCCGCGAAGGAGCCGATGAGCGAGTAGACGTTGAGGATGCCCATCAGGACCTCCAGCTGCACGTCGGTGATTCGCAGGTCCTCCTTGATGTACAGAGACGCACCGCTCATCACTCCGATATCTGCAAAGTCCGGCCGTACCTCATAAGCCTCATGCCCATGCAAAAAGCAAAAGCGAACCGAAACAAAAAAGGACGCCGCGCCGTACTAGGCTAGGCAATACCCTGTCAAGGGCGAAGTGAAGTGAGTGTGTTCGTACCATAGCCGAGAAGGATGGAGGTCATGGAGGCGAGGATGGCGCAGGCGAAGGCGAACTTGACGTTGCCCTTCTTCCCGGGCTCGACGGCCGCCGGCAGCGCAGCGGAAGCCATCGTTGACGGCTTCTTGCTCTGCCCTGTGCTGCACTGCAGAGAATGCGAATAGTTTAGTGGTGTTCAAGCTCAAGAGAGCTCGTTTCAACGTGGCGCAGTTAAGTGTTGTATCTCAAGGACTCAATATATAGACCGACTGACAGAGTAGGCAGGATCACCGGTCGGCTCGAAGTTTCAAACGAAAGGCCCTTTGCACGGCTCATCCAAAACGGTTTTACCGGTGAAGCCAAAGCCGGTGAAACCAGAAAAACTGGTTTTTCTCGGTTTCCAGTTTATTTTAACCCCGGCTTACAAAACGGCTTCACGCTACAGTGCCTCGATTTACGTAAAATAGATAAAGCTGAAGCCGGCATAAGCCGTGCCAAAGAGGCCTGAAGAACTGAAAAGAAACACGGGCCCACAAGCGGTCACTGTGGATGTGGCCCACGATATGGACTGCCCCTCACGTTGCAGACACCGGCGATCTCCATCTCCTTCCGTCGTCCTACTTAGCTGCATGAGAATGACCACTGGATCCGGGCTCCTGACGCCATTGGTGCCATTGGTAGTTGGCTGGCCCCGCGTTTCTTGAGCTCTCGTTCCCGGTGTGGATATATGGGACAACGGCTCCTTTGATAAGCTGAATTAGGTAATGCAAGTGCCTATAAATAAACAATGGTAAAAGCGCATCAGTGATTGATTTGCTTTCTTTGTAAGTACTTGTACATGATATCTTTGGGATTATAAGATCCAAGAAGAGGGGAAAAGTTCACCCTAAAGTGCAGCCTACAGAGAGACTTTTTAGTGTGCGTGCAAAAATCCTCTTTGTTTTGGATTAACCAAAGTCATACAGGTAGCATATTATATTAAGGTTAAATTTTAGCTTTTTGTCAGAAAAAAGATAAAGCAATAACCAGCCTTTCAAGTTATACAGTACTCCCTCCGTCCTGTAATACACACAATGCAGAAACAATTAAGACAAACTTGAAGTAATACTTAAATGACACATGTACACATGGGTTAAATCTAAACAAGAAGTTTCACGTCAAATTATATTTTCCTTTTTTTAAAATTTTTGTTAAATCTGAATAAGTACATTTTTAGAACTCATAATATAGTGTATTTCGGTGCGGAGGGAGTAACTATCGAGCTTGTCTGCCCAGATAATATATGAGTAGTAGCTTTCTTAGCTGTAACATCTTTGATTTTTTTTTAGTTCAAAATATTTTAATATACTTTTATTTGTTTAATTATAGCCTTCTCTCCATGCATTTATACTACATCCATCCACACACACTACAATAGCTATGATCAACCATTTTATTGTCTTAAAGTTATTGTTGTCAACCTATTCTCTTATTTCATTTTCGCGCTCCTATTTGATGAGGTAAAATTAAGGTTGCCTTTAGTTTCTCTTGGTGAGTTCAATGTCTCGGTAAAATAACTATCCAAGTCTACCACATACTGTTTAATTCTTTGTCCCTCTTATAAATTTAAAATTTGTATGTTCTCATAACTTACATACCATCTTTTTTCGCCCTAAAACATCGCCAGATTTATCACAATGCGACACATGCGTGCTATAGCTATATTGCTCCCTCAAACAACCATTTGTTAGAGATCTAGCCTTCCTAAAAAAACTACCACCTTCGCCAAGCGAATCTATTATCTTCATATACACGGACTTATTTATGTGTCTTTTCCAACTTATTGAAATTAAACTACTATTTTCAATTTTTCAATGTAGAATTTAGATATTTTATAGTTATATTCCTCCGTTCCAAATTATAAGTCGCTTTGACTTTTGGTTCATCCATTTTGCAACGTACGTAGACATAATATTATATCTAGATGCATATTAAAATGAATACACCAAAAAAGTCAAAGCGACTTATAATTTGGAACGGATGGAGTAATTTATATGGCCTTTCTATTTAGTTAGTTTTTCCTTTTCAATTCATCTGGAGATCAAACTATTGATTTTCATAGGTTCTTTAGTTTTATCTTCACTACTTGTGTTTTACATGGGCTCTTTATCATTCTTTCCAGCTCGCTTGGGAATCAAAATGATTTTTAATTAATTCATTATTTTTTTATTCAAATTTAATTCATTATTTTGAATTATCTGATTATTGATACTATGGGGTATGGACTCTTTGCTTAATCTAAATAGTTGGATCATCATAAAATCCAATGATGTGGGACCCAGGATTGGGCAAAGACTTGGGCCATTACATTAGGCATCAATGCTAACTGTGCTTGGCTATAGAAAAATAATAATTTGTCCGCTATAATTAAGGGCTAAGACTAGGGCCATAGCCCCAGTGGCCCTAGTGTCAGGCACGCCACTGGCCTTAATGAGAATAAAAACCTTTGTAAGACTCAACATCGGAGCTGAGGTGCTATATGATGGAGTTGACAAAGCAAAGCTAATTTTGACGAGTAAAGTAGTCTCAAACACCCCTATATACAATTCATTTACGTTGAGATATTTTCTCAGGTCGCCATGTGCGCCTTGCAATAGACTACTACTAGTGATTATTGAATAAACTGCAACTTGCGTTGCAACTTCACATGCCACATGTGCACCGGCTAAATGTTACTACCTGAGAAAACCATAGCTTACCTACTCGAATCTAATTTACTGTTTTAAAATGGAGAACTCGTCCTACCGGCTGAAAATGTTATTCCTGGGGCAACGCAAGTCAGAGATCAGAAGAATAATGCGATCATCATTTTTCAATTGAATATGCCAACGTACATGATGGTGTTGAAAAATGCTTGCCTTCATCGCCAAATAAAAATGCCGGCCTCAGTTTGTGATCCATAAAATTAATTAAAAACGTTAGGCGGCTTCTGGGGTTAAATTAATTGTCCTGTGACAGCTTCCAGTCAACTGAGCTTCGTTTCAAAATTAAATAGTATGATTGATTATTAATATAAACAGTACTATTTGCGGTTAATTTATGACTTGAATCAAATTTCAAGGAAAATAATTCAGCATTTGAGCGTAACAGCTGGTTTCCTCTCTCCAGCTGTCCAGCAACCAACAAGTGGTCTCGTATTATCAAAAAAAAACGAGCACTGCAATTTGGAAATAGCTGATGCCATAATAACTTACAAATCTAAAATCTCCCGATTCTATCCCTAATACTAAAGAGGTAAAAATTCTGGCATTGAAATTTTCGTCCAACTAGCCCAATACCGACCTAGCCTTGGCCACCCACTCGGAAAGTTGCGCACGTTTTTTCTCCCGTCAAACGTAACGGCCCGGAATTTCTGGGTGTAAAACGTTCCCGTCCGTATTGCTTTACGGCCAACAGGCTGAACGGAGGGAGCCGCATGTCTGATCACAGAGTCCACTTCGGACACGTTGGTTTGCTGGTAACCAAGGAAATCAAATCGATTTGTTTATTTGGTTCGGAATTGGATTGGGCAACATCTGCATGGGATCCAATCGTGTACACATATATATGGATTAGATCTTCATCAATACTACTAAATCAAACTACATACTTGGTTGTGAGTCCACACACAAGAAGTTATGTGTTTTGACAGACCTTGTTTGATTGAGATTACTGTTTGAGCAAGAACACGAGTTTGTCTCATTGTTAATTATAAAGCCTACTTGTGTAGTCATCGATCTGGCGTCTCCACAAGTACTTCTCGTCGACGGCAGAATTGACACAGTGCAAAGTAGCTCGTCGTTGGCGGCGTGGCCACCCACTCAAGAAGTCCCCGCATCCTTTCTTTTACCGTGGACACGTTCCCGTCCATGTCCTTTGTCGTGTTCTTTTTTCTTCCGAAGGGCCAGTGCCGAGTCGTCCGCACGGATGGCGTGTCCTGATGCAGCTTCTGCGCCTCCTCCGTCATGCGCGCGGACGCAACTCCCGCGCCACGTCCGTCACGCGCGCCCGCGGGAAACGCCGCACTGCCAACAATTCGCTCGCCCACGCATACGCAGGGACCATTTGAGCTCGCTCCGTTTCACGCGGAGACCAATCCCAATCACCTGCCCCCCTACGGATGCGCGTCGTGGAGGTGTCTGCCGGCTTTAGGCACCGGCATGGTAACCCATGGCTGCGGAGTCCTCTTTGCAACATGTGCTCTCTAGATCTACTTTTGAAACATCCATATAAAACAATTGCAACATACGTCTGAAAGAGATGAAACCAATAAAACACATGCGCTTGAAACATGTACGTAGCCATAGCAACATATGTAACATCCCGATCTAATTTTGCAACATCCAAATATACTTCTAGAATATCCTGATGAAACATTTGAGACATACGTATGAAACAACTGGAACACTTGAAACATATGCTTACAACATGAAACATACACTTGCAACATGCATATATAGCCATTACAATATACGAAATATACGCAACATCCAATGAAACACTTGAAAACATACACATGAAACACGACATCGCCGGGGCTGGTCGATTCTGGCCGTCGGAGTGGGAGCCGGCGGCGTACGAGCACCACCAGCACCGGGCACGCTCGTGCGTGCCCTTGGCTCGACCTGAGGCGCCTGGGCACGTGCGCCAAGCGGCAGTGGTGGCCCACGGTGGCGAGGCATCCTGGCGGCGCTGGGGTTGGGGAAGAGGCCGAGGAGACAGCATGGTCGGCTTGGGCGGAGGAGGAAGGCAACGATGGCGGCATGGGACTCTACTGCAACTAGCGGACACGAGATAGAGACCGAGAGATGGGGAGGGCAAGATGGGGAGAGCGGGCCGGATTAGGGCGCGCGGCGCGAGCGGGAGCGAACGGGCGATGCATCGTGAGTGGGAAATTTCTGCAGCACGGGCGGGAGCGAGCCGTCTGAAAGGGCGGACGCCCTCAACCAAGCATTATCGTTTTCTCTTCTTTTTGTCCGTTTCTGCTTTTCCGCGTTCAATTCCGTGACATTTTTCCTCCTTTTTGGTCTCCTGTTTTTCCTTCTTTTTTGTCTCCTCTAATCTACATCTACATCTATATGTATTGAGATTCCGTTACAACGCACGGGTGTATTT